GACTGCATCTGCACTTTCATCTGCATTGTCAATCCAGATGTTTTTTCATAATCACATTATCATCTTTGAAAAGTACTTCCCTGTTAAAGGGAACCATTTAAATTACTTTTATTTGTCACGTCTCACAAGTGAAAAAGGCTTGCTCTCTAGGAGCGTGTCTACACAGCACCCTTCCCTCAAAATAAGCTACGCAATTTACACTACGCAAATTGTGTAGCTTATTTCAAGGTAATTGTCTACACAGTGCCAAATTTCAAAATAAAGTGCTATTCCGACAAATCCCTTATCCCTCGTGGAATGAGGGTTACAGAAATGCCAGAATAGCATGCCCATTATTTTGAAATAACGGGCGCGTCTAGAGACACGGAATTGCTGTCAGGATACTTCTGGTATCCCGAAATAGCCCCGCTTCTAGATGTAGCCTAGCTGTTAAAGACCACATCAGAAGTATCATGGAAATCATTTGCCAGAATGTTCTTACACATTGCGTACCCCTAGGGTCCTACCAAATTCACAGTCCGGTTTGGTCAATTTCATGGTCATATAATTTTAAATATGGTAAATTTCATTGTTTCAGATATTTAAATCTGAAATGTCCTGGTATTGTATTGTAGAAGCCTTGACACAAATTGTGTGTCTAGACTACAGGGTCTTTTTGAAAAAAGTGACTTTTTCGAAAAAACTTCCTGTGTCTAGACTGCCATGTTCTTTTGAAATTAAATAGAAAGAACGCAGTGGTTTTTTCGACTGTGGTAAACCTCATTTTACGAGGAAGAACACCTTTTTCTGAAAGTGCTCTTTCGAAAAAAGGCGTTCTTGAATGCAAACAGGGCTTTTTCGAAAGAGAGCATCCAGACTGCCTGGGTGCTCTCTTTCAAAAAAGCGGCTCACCTTTTCGAAAGAAGTGGTTGCAGTCTAGACGCTCTCTTTTGAAAGAGGCTTTTTCGAAAGATTCTTTTGAAAAAGCCTCTTTCGAAAGAGGCTTGTAGTCTAGACATAGCCAAAAAGTTGTGTGGGGATCACAAGGTTATTGTATGGGGGTTGTGGTATTGCTACCCTTACTTCTGCACTGCTGCTGGTGGGGTGCTGCCTTCAGAGCTGTATTCAAACTTTTTTTCTGGTGACCCAACTGAAGAAAATTGTTGATGCTTGTGATCCAAAGGATGAGGAGTTTGGGGTGTGGGAGCTGGGAGGGAACAGAGGCAGAGGGTTGGGTTTGCAGGAGTGAGGGCTGCAGGAGGGGGCTGGGGAGCAGGCACTCAGGGGCTGTGTCTAGACTGCCATGATTTTCCAGAAATGCTTTTAACGGAAAAGTTTTCCGTTAAAAGCATTTTCAGAAAAGCGTGTCTAGATTGGCACGGACGCTTTTCCGCAAAACCACTTTTTGCGGAAAAGTATCCGTGCCAATCTAGACGCGCTTTTCCGCAAAAAAGCCCCAATCGCCATTTTCATGATTGGGGCTTTTTTGTGCAAAACAAATCTGCACTGTCTACGCTGGCCCTTTTGCACAAAAGTTTTGTGCAAAAGGACTTTTGCCTGATTGGGAGCAGCATACTATTTCCGCAAGAAGCACTGATTTCTTACAGTAGGAAGTCAGTGCTTTTGCGGAAATTCAAGCGGCCAGTGTAGACAGCTGGCAAGTTTTTTCGGCAAAGCGGCTGATTTTCCGGAAAAACCGGCCAGTCTAGACACAGCCAGGGTGTAGAAGGGGGCTCTGGGTTAGGGCATAGGATTGAGGTGTGGGAGGGGCCAGAGCTCTGGGCTGGGAGTTCAGACTCTGGGCTGGGGTCAGGGATGAGGAGCTTGGGGTGTAGGAGGGGCCTCTGGGCTGAGGTGCTTCCTGCCTCTCCTAGCATCGCAGACTATGCTGTACCCCAGCAGATCTGACTCATAGGCTGAGGCATGCAAACAGCTCCAGGCGACTCCTGCCCACAGACACCGCTTCCCTTGCTCCCATTGGCCAGTTCCTATTCAGTGGAAGTATGAAACTGATGACTGGGGCAGGGGCAGTGTGCACCTGCCTAGGAGCTGGACTTGCTGTTGTTCACTTCCAGGGTGCAGTGCAGTGCTGGGTCATGACCCACACTTTAAAATCTATTGGTAAAAGCACACAAAAGACCAGATTTCATGGAAGGACAGCAGATTTCACAGTTCATGATATATTTTGCATGACTGTGAAATTCCCAATGAATTTCCTTAGATTTTGGATTCCAGAGATGCTTTGGTGCCAGCTTTATGGTGCAGTCCACCTCTCGCTCTCTATATATATGTGTTAGAGAGTTTGTGCATCTTTGTGAGTATATTCATCTGAAAATCTGTTCAAGAACTCCTCCTAAAGGATAAGAACTAAGACCACCAAATTTGGTATGCAGCTTCCTCTTCTCCTAACTTAAAGTAAGGTCAGGCTTTGGTAAACTGATTGGAGACAGCTATCAGAGAGACAGAGTGATCACTGGGGTAGCTGCCACAGCAAAACAATGTCCAGCTGTTGTGGTCCCCCCAGGACAACCCCTGGGGTTAGGCAGTGCTATCCAACCCCTCCAGAAGACAGTGGTACAGTGAACTGCAGCCCACCCACTCCCCAGAAGACACCCCCAGAGGAGAGGCCGGGAACTGCAGCTCATCCCCCACAGAGGAAACTGCACCCCCAAAGACAGGCCAGGGTTGGGAACTGTGACCTACTCCTCCACACAGCCCCAGAGGAGACTCACTGGGGAGACTCCGAGGCTGGAAATCATAGCTCCCCTTGGACCAACTGGAGGATAGTGGGGCAGTTGGAGGACAGGTCCAACCCTCCTGGACAGGCTGGAGGCTTGGCAGGGGAGCTGGAGGCCAGGGCAGCCCACAGAGCCCCCACCCCCAACCCTGAACTGGAGGCTGGGGTCAAACCATACAGCTTTCCCCCCATTGAACAAGCTGCCATCCAGAAAGCACAATCCTGGGCCCCGGGGAGGAGCTGCCTCTGGAACACTGTCACCATTGCCACCATGATTGGCCCTGGTAAGTCACCCTCCTGCCTCCCTGCCCTATCCCCTGCACCTCCATCCTCTGCTCTGAGCCCAGGGACAGTGGGCAAAAGCCCAGCTGGGGAAGGCAAGTCCCAACCAGATCCCTCCTGGCCATGTGGAGAGCAGCCAGGGCTGCCCGGGGGCAGCGGTCCTTCCTCACCCCTAAACACTCCCTCCCTCCCTCACACACACCAGCCCCCTGTCCCGAACCCCTCTTCACCCCACACCCTACATCTAACTTGGAACAGAACCGCAAGTGACTGTTCTGGGTGTCATGGGCAGCAGGGGGCTGCTCAGAGCTAACTGGTTTCCCATTCACGACAAGTTCAAGGTAACTTCCCCCCAGTCCCAGGGGCAGCCCAGCGTGGGCTGAGTGATTTTGCCCCTGGTCGCAGGGTTGCCAATTTTGGTCAGACGTAGTCCTGGAGATTTCATCCCATCCCATCGCCCGTTAAGTCCTGGAGACTCCAGGAGGCTCCTGGAGGGTTGGCAATGAGCAGCCTAGGCACGGGAAATGAGCCCCGGCGGGGGTGACGCGCACTGGGGGGG